AAAATATTAAATTGTGACTAAATAAAAAGTAAAGTGAAACTTGCACGTTCGTATTTGATCCTTTTATCCCTTGTGCCAACAACGGCAAGGCTTGCTGTAGACACGAGGCCATGAATAAGTAAGTAACTGTAGTTTCTATTGTTGTAAGTTCTTAAGTACGAAATCTCAGAATAAATTTTTAATGTCCTGCAAGCAAAAGCACAGCAGCGTGTCAGTCAACCAGTGACAAGAACAAAAAAAAAAATACCATAAAAACAATGAAAACCAGAATAGTTATAATAATGTATATATATACGAGTATATGTACTTATGTATATAAAAGTCAAACGTCCAACTTTTCTTCATTTTGTTTTTTGTGTGCGAATCGAAAGCCCATTGCGTTCCCCTTCCCTTCTCTTTCAGCATTTTATGTCAGCATTTGCCATTTTATTTACAACAAAAGTTTCCGTTGTCTGTTATCCTCTCGGCCTCGACTGTCATAAGTGCCACTGACCTTTCGCATTTAAATACCTGAATGCATCAAATGTGTACACCCTCTGCGGGCATTCTATCCGTATATGAGTGCCACTTTATGTATGTGTGAATAGGTTTGTATGTATGTATGTATGTGTCCAAGTGTGGGAATACAATAAAGCAAACACCTGTCGTGTCTGCAGATACTCTGCTTGCTTCGGTTCGCAAAACCATTGATACATTTAAAATTGTTACGTACATGCCTGTGTGTGTGTGTATGTGTGTGTGTGTATTATGCGTATTTATGTATATGCTGAACAGCCATTGACAGCGAGCGACCCTTGGAAACGAACTTGCGCTGTGAACCCGAAAAACCAATCAAAAAGTTCTTAAAGTATTTGTAAATGTTTATCAGCAAAATAATTATTTAAAACAGAAAATGCACAATCAGCAAACATTATTCCACTGAATGCAGCGGAGCGAAGCGTGGGAAATTTCGCAAGTTAAATACACTTAAAACTGGGATAACATAAAGTAGAATAAAAAAAATTAAAAAAAAAACAAAAAATAAATTAATAATTAAGCAAAAGTTCATAATTTTTTATAAAAAGTATTTTACTAATTTCACTTTAAATCTCATACAAATTCTCTTTCTGTCTTTACTTATTTTCTGTACTATTGCACCTCATCTTCCAAACGCTTCTAAAATACGGCCTTAAATGCATAAATGTTCTGCGAAATTGCCTCTGGCCTCCGGTGCGTATACTTAATATCAGTTTAACAGCCGCACAGCAATTTATCTACTTCACACACTCATGCACACATTTACATATATGCATGTAAGAGCATGTGCCGCTGTGAGTTATTTCTATTGGAGTTCAAAAACCTTATTAGCCGGCTTGTGGCTGGTAGAAGGTATTTCCAATTTAGAGCTTCTTCTTTCCAATGTCCTTTACGGCAAACGTAGAGGTTATTACAGCGCGTAGTGCATTGATTTGTAACGGTAGATATTAAAAACAGTAAGTGCTGCACAAATTGAAAAAGAGAATATTAATAAAGGCAAACCCAGCAAACCCCACGTACCGGTAACCTCCGTGCCGTTGAGCCAAAAATCCCCACTGTCGCACTCCTTAAGAGGAAAGTACACGAATTGAGCGAAGTAAAACATAAAATTAATGAAACTCATTCAAGTGGCATATTTAAACGTGAAAGGCAAGGTAGAGGTGGCTGCCGGTTGGCGGCATGCCGCAAATACGCCAAATGCTTAAACGAACCATAAACACAATTTTTTGCGTTTATTTCGAGGACAAGGTCATGGCTCCCAAAAATAGCGCAGCAAAAAAATAAAAATAAAGCAACGAGAAGGGAAAACGGCAAACAGTAAGCAGTGAAATCCCGCCGTCGCCTTTCAAGCACCTAACCTCTAAAGTCATAGCACCGAAATTACATTTTAGCCAAAAGCACACATTTTCTTCGCCAACAACAACGGCACAGCGGTTCGGCTGCGGCTGACATGAATTGCTCAAAACATATTTTGTTTAGTTGCGTGGCTCTGGCCATCTTTCTCTCAGTCTCTCTTTAGCTTTCATTTGTGTTCTGTGCTCGTTTTTCCCAACGCATATGTTCTGCTGGAGTTTATTAACATTTCGCCCGAAAAGGTAAATAACACTTAATAACGGTTTTCCAGCGTCCCTGCCCAACACCAACGTTCTGTGCGCCCAGCAAATGTCCCTAGAAAAGCTCACGACAACCAACCAAGCCTCTAGGCCTTGAAAGTTGTCGTGTGCCTGTGTATGTGTGGGTGTATGTGCACAGAAAGTTTGCGAAAGCAAAGAATCCTTGACACAAGGGCAAGTGCAAGGGCATCAAACCCAGAGGCCGTGTGTTATTGTATTCTTTGAATATACGCACTTTATTTTTGATACCAGCTACTGCAGCCTTTCATGACCATGACCATAATTCTCACGGCCACAATGCAGCCTTTTTCCTGCTCCTGCGCCTACTTGTAGGCAACCTTTTTCATGCTCTCACTCGGATACACACAAGTCATTGCCACGGCCATGGCCATGGCCAAGCCGATTGCGTACTGTCGACTACCGACTGCAGCACGTGCTGCTCACTCGCGTGACGACACAAACTCTGACGTCGACTGCAAGTGTATCGTAAAATCTCCGGTAGTACACTTTTAGGCGCATACTCATTTTCTCACTCCTCAAATCTATTACGTGCCTACCCATCGCGTCCTACTGAAATAGGCTTTTTATTGCTGTTTCAATGGCACTTACCTACTGCGCATGCTACGGAACGGTGGCAGCAGACACACATCGGCTTGGCTCGGCGGCTCGTCGTGTCTGCCAGCCGTAAGCCGCATATTCGTATCTGTTCGGTGTGTATCCTTATCGCTGTAAGTCTGCTGAATGTCGTTGCCTGCACTTTTCATAGGCGCCCAGTTCAATGACCTCAATACACGCCGACTGCAAGCAAGTTTGCGCAATGTCTGCCGGGTGGATACTGTTTGAAAAACAAGCGAGCCCGTAGCTCAGCTGTGTTTGGGGCATGATGAGTGGGTTTCGCCGCAGACAGTTGCGCATGTATGTCGTGTATATGTGTTTGGACCTAGGCGCTCAATGGCCTCTTGCCACACCTCAATCTCAAACCCAACCTTCTCAATGTGTGCAAAGTTGTGTCAGTCGTTATTGTTATTGTTTTGTATGGGAATGGATTGTTCTGCTTGGCTGTTTGTTTGTTTGTTTGTTTTGCTTTCGGTTCAAGAGCGAGGAAAAGGAAAATCGCTTTGGTACTCACCTCGAAGCTTTTAAAATTTTCATGACTAATGTCAAGGATACGCTTCTGAGATTTTCATTTCAAGTGCGCTCGCCTTGAATCGCTTGTTGTGTAATGAATGCGAATTCGTTTTTTACTGTCGCAAAGTGGAATGGTTTTGTCTTCTCTGAAATGAATGATTTTTTCTAGTTTTCGTTTTTTTTTTAATACACTTTTTGTCTTTCGCTTTTGTTTGTTTTCTGTCGCTTTTTCACTTTTTGTTTGGCAAATCCTCGACATGTTTTTATCGCAATTGATTGGCGTTGTCTCCCTTGGCTTTTGGTGTTTTTCGTATATGTGGGTTGGCTCGTTGTCAGCCACAATCTGCTGCGTGCCAAGACAGTTTGATTCTTCTCCACTGTTTTACTGCTCCTCGAGCTCTCTTCCTTCAAACTCTGCGATTTATGACTTTTGCCGCTGCTGAATTTATTATCTAAAATTCATATTAAAGCCCAATCGGCATCTGATTAAGGTAATAAAAAGCGCATTCACTGCTTCTCTTTGGGGCAATTTACGCCGAAAATAAGTAACTATATTGTTACCAAAGTGTTTCAGAGTAGCCATTACACACTATTTCAGTGCGGTAAGAATTAAGAATTGTCAAAGTCAAATTTTTCTCATTTTTTTTTTCTTCAAAATCGAACGCTTATATAAGACCCAAGTTCTACTAGCTATACTTGACTAACTTTCGGGACGCTATTGTCAGCTGCAACAGAGGTGAAATGCTATAGCAAAGGTCTGAAATATGCAGACAAAGCTCTTCATATTTTCACAGTTGGGTTCAAAATGTACAAAAGAGCGGAAGATAAGAAAGTATTGCGGTATCTTTCAAGCCGAAATGTTTCTTCAAAAAGTGGCGGCAGAGCTACTGCGGGGTGTTGGCTTCCAAAAGAATACACATTTATGCGGTCATGAAGGTCGTAGTTTCATACAGTACGAAGTCGGGTGTGGACGCACTATGTAAAGAAGCGGAAAAAATACACGGGCATTGATTACAATGAGATAGCTGACGAGCTAGCTAAGGAGGGTGTCATTTGAGAGCCTACCAGTTCCATTCCGGGAAATGACCTACTACGTTAGGCGAATAGACTTTGAGAACGAGCTAAGGGCTGCAGGATCGTGAAAATTCATGGTGCTAAACTTTCTAAGCTTTTATTTTCCCTACTGCTGGTAGGCATTATCTTTTGGCGTCATATACTAAGGTCTAATTGGGGACAACGAGTGCAAGAAATGTAAAGAATGAGTGGTTACAGTGCAACACATAATCTATGTCCAGCTTTGGGGCGACAAAGACTATGCTTACTTGTCGCAGAAAGGCTACAGCACCTTTACTCGACTAGTTAAATTTGCGAAAAGAGCTTCTTCATACTAGAGACACAATAAAGAGTGTAGAAGTGCCGCTGGGTCGTATGTAGTGTGTCTGCCAACATCTTAGAGGCGAGACCCAATAGACCAGATAGTGCGACCTAACCTAACCTATACTTTGGATACCAATATTTCTAAATGAATACACTTCTTATTAATTGTCCGCCCTTTTCTATTTAAAATATATATATATATATATTTTTTTTTTTAATATCGCTTTGCTTTGAGAAAATGTCAGGAGATTTCTGAATCTTTTTGTTTTTGATTTCCTTTGTGAATGCCATCATTCCAACGAGATATTTCTTGGACCGTCCGGTCCGCACGACACGTTAATTATATAAAATGAAAAATTCGCTCATTAAAATTCGCCTTAAACACATACATACATACATGCAAACATTCGCATTGCGGGGCATTCAACGCCAAGTGGCCGCAGAAGCAGCAGCAAGATGAAAAAAGCGCAGTGTTGAGAAATCGCTGAAATGTGTAGACGAGAAGGCAAAAACTGAAAGCAGAAAAGAAAAAATTATATAAAATTGCACAAACTTGACAATGATAAAGCGGATAATTGCATGGATCTGCGTCAATGAATTGAATGAAAGTGAACGTGAGTTTTTGCTGTAATGCATTTGCTCATGTTTATCATGTGTTGCTTTGGCTTTGCTTCTGACGCTTTGCAGTTTTAATGTCGCATGTCTATTACTCTTATTATTTACTGTTGTTGGTGGTGTTGTTGTTTTTGTTGCTGACTGCTGGCTGCCACCATTGGTTGTGGTTAGCTGATTGGTTGCTCGCTTCTTCGGCTGCTGCTTAGTATTGGTGCTGTTGTTGTTACTTTGGCTGTTTGCTTGGCTTGAATGGTTGTTGCTCGTGACGGCAGGAATTAATTGCATTGATACGCAACAATGATTCGCCGTTAATGACTTTATGCTCACAAAGACAGGGCAGTCAGCGCAGTAGTATATAGTATTGAAAAAACCTCAATAACTTTAATGCAATGAAAACGAAAATTAATTTTTTTAAAAGAACATTAACGGTATTCAAAGAAAGAATTAAAAAGTGTTTAAATTTTAAGCTTAATGTACATACATATTTTTTCGCCACTGTTTTTGTATTCCAAGAATTAATACCCGCCAACGGAACGCTGTAAAGTTGCACCGACCCTTCGCATTATTTCAGCCCTATTCTCGGGCAAACTATACTTTCTTTGCTCCACTTAGTTGAAATGCGTATTTAAAGTTGTGCTCCTTTGCTCGATGTACCTAAGTGTGTATGCATTCGCCTGACATTTTGATAAATGACCCCTGCAATCTTCCACGCAACAACCGCACAAACGATTGCTTTGTCTTGTCCACGTCTCTTGCGCGCACTGCAGCGGCTGCCGTTGCAATGGACGTTTTTCCTTTTAATCAAAAAATATGTAAAAAATCAGTATGAAAACAATAAATAAAAATTGTATTGACTGTAGTTGTGGTTTAAGCGAAAATACTTAAGATTTATCGTTATATAATGTGAGTAAAGTGGGTGTAGGAGGAATGGAACCACTAACTTATAAACAAAAAGAAAAAAGAATAATAAGTAGTAGTAAACGTTTAGGATCAGGGCGGCCAATGCCCGCACTGCTTGAACCTTTCTTTATTTCTTTCAGTTTTTTTCAGTTTCCCCAATCAGGACAGACACTGCTCATCATAATCTAATTAATGACTGTCGTCAGTCTGATAAAGACGCTTGCCTGATCGGTTTACAGCGCAAATAAAATTTCAAAATTTGTGAATTTAATTATCATGAAAACGTAGAAAGACAAGATTATGCTGTATGAATTTCAAATAGAAGAAAATGTCCATTAATTTCAAATTTTCCCTAGAAATATTTGTTTTTTTTTTCGGCCGCATCCATTGTTTGTGCTTTTCTCATATTCACTATTTCATAATTTAATTTTGATAAATGGATTACATACCGCGATTCCAATATACCCACCCCAAGCGCACCGATATGTCGGCAAAATTTTTTTATTGATTTAACGGTCATTGAGCGTCATTTCTTTAAGCTTTCCTGCAGAGCGGGAGGACATCCCCAGTTTTTCTAGTAATTTTAATAGAAATAAATGTCGCTTTTTTAATAAATTACATCTCTTTTTTTCAGGCTTGGGATGTACCTGTGTACAATTACTTTTTTTCATTTATTCATTTTTTTCGGGATTTTCGTCACCATCATTTTCCCAAATGTCCATTTACATAAATTCATATTTCTTTTCCATTTTCTTCTTCTATCAATTGTTTATTTAATATTTGCATAATTTCCACGAAACTTTTATCACAGCTGTCCAACCGCAGTGATTAATCATATTTTCTACGCTTTTTTTATTTGTATTTTTTCCATAAAAGTTGACTCAATGCCTTGTCAGTTTAGTATTGGAACTTTAATGTTGGCTTTGCAGCAAACACTAAAAGTAAATTAAAAAAAAGTTACCGTTGTTTACAAAAAGGAAAATTAAAATTTCCTCTAAGCATTTTTATAAGCCAGCGTTGTGTGATTTACCCCACACATACATCTTCTCACTTAATTGCGCTTTTCCTTGCCGTTATAACTTCCACTTGAGCGCGCTGCTTTTGTGCACTTGCCTCTTGCCACTTGCCGCTTGTTACTTACGTGCAGAAACATCTTGGTTTCCTTTAGCTGCACATATTTGGTGTTTTCCTCATCTCATTTATCTAACGAAAATTAACCTTTTCAAAAAGGATTTGCAGCATCAATTCCAGTTTGAATACCATTCTTGCACAATTTACGCAGTGTAACGGTACTGCTTGCTGTTTACTATTTATTTTGTCCGTGTTCTGTTACGTTGGCGTGTGGCTGTGTGCATTTCGCCTTAAATGCTTTGATCCAAAGCGTTAGACTGTAAAGCATGTGATATTCATTGTTGCGTCGCTGATTCCACTCAAAAGTGAGGTTAAGGAGAGAGCGCTTCACACCTGAGATTTACTACTGGCGGCAGTATAAGCGTTTTTTATATTGTTTTAGGTGCATGCGAATAAAATTAATTTGACTTATCTTCACGCTCTTTATTCATTCTACATAAAAAAAAAAATTAAAAATTTACTTCAATTTTCTAAGAAAAAAAATTTGTGTTTCGTTACTAAATGCCTGAAAACCCATTTTCACCTTCGAGCGATTCCAGTTTATTTGCCTTTAGATGTGTATGTATGTAAATATTTGATTTCGTTCCTTTGGGCGTCCTCTTTAAGACAGTTTCCACACATTCTTCAGTGTTTGACTTTTCACTACGGTTCACTTCACTTCAATTCAAGCCACTCCAAGCTATTCGAATGCCATTTTCTTGGACGTTCAGTTGTTGTGGTTTACTTGTTATTATGTCTGCTCCTTCTTCTGCTTCTTCTTCTTCTTTTACTGCTTAATAATAAATTTTATTTGCAAATGTTTATCCTTTCGCATGAGATTGTTTTATGTAGTTTTTTTTTTCAACAAACAGCTGCTGTCTCTGAGCGTGTGTGTGTGTGTGTGTGTGTGTGTGTTAGCATTGAATGCATGTTCTTACCCATATATACTTTGTGAATACATATATAATCTACGTATCCTCACAACATATTCATATCGCTATGTCTAGATATGTCTGTCTGGCGTCTCAGCTGCACAAACGCAATGCAATAAACTCTTCCACACCTAATTTCAATTGCAAAATGATGATAGACATTACTGGAATTGTTATGATGGCTCTTAACAAGTTCGTTTACACCAAAGTGTCAGCAACAGCAACAGCAACAGCAGCAGCAGCAGCGAGAGCGGATGTGGGAATAATAACAACAACTGTATAAATGCAATAGTTATACTTTTCTATTCATGCTCATATGCATATCTATGCATGTGTGTATGCGTGTGTGCTATGTGATGGTGATGGCTGCATTCTCTTGACAGTTGTTTGATTTGTTCACAATCGAAACTAATGTGGTCGTGTGAAAAGCAATAACAACTGACACTTGGCTGCTGGCAGAACGTAACATAGTGTAAAAAGAAATAAAAATTAAATAAATAATAAAAACACGGACTAGAAAAGAAGAAAGTTAAAGGAAGTGCGCTTTGAGTGATTTTTTTTTGCATTTTGCATTTAAATATTAAATAAATTTCATCAAAAGAAAACTTTCAATGACTGTGACACTGTTTATGTGAAAGTCTTTTCAGCTATAAAATTTTGAGGTTTCCAACAATTACCTGACATTGTCTTGCAATCCTTTGTGATATCTGTGTGACATTGTCACGACAACAATTTCGTTTACAAAAAAATAATTTTATTTGTCGATGAAAGTAAAAAACCAGCGACTATATTTTAAATTACTACAAATGTGAAAACTCTTAATTTTAGGCAATCACGCCACATTTTTTCAAAAACAAAATTCGCATACTAATTTTAATCGCGGAACATCTATTTATCTGTTAAAATCTTTTAATTCAAAATCTTTTTAATTCAAAAGCTTAAATTTTTTTTTAATACTGAATTTTATTGTATGTCTACAAAAGGTCATTGAACGCTGTTTTATTGTCACTTCAATACCGGTTTTACGTACACACACAATCATACTTAACCATATACAAAAAAGAAATGTTCATAATTTACGGCCGCCACAACTCCCATTTTGTTGCCTGCATCTAGGCGCCCACTTGCCTGCTCTTCGCTTTTGCCCTTATCTTCGTCCACTACTGTGGCTTCTTTATGTTTGTTTGTTGCTTTCTTTTAGAATTTTTTCATATATACGTATCTATTTTGGTCATTCTTTGCAGCTGTCAGCCATACACCTGACTATCTGTCCCGAAGCATCTCTTTATGGATACTTTTCCTTGGGCAAAGTACCGTTCTTTCACCATTTAGTAACTCAACTTGCTTGTAGTTTGTATATTTTTCCCATTGACTGAGCTTTATACTGTGATATTGACATTTTGATAATGGTAAATGACTGCTTATTTGTTAGACGGAACTACTGCTGCGGGTACGGATGGGGTGCAGAGGAAAATAAATGTCATGTGACATATGCAACCGTAGACGTGAAGAAAAACACTTTAAAAATGTTTCATAATGTTACCGTAAAATCTGCTAGAAAAATTTAAAGCTTTTTAGCTAAATTTAACTAGTAAATTTTTAATTTTAATTATTTCTTATTGATTTTAATTATTCGTTTATTTTTACATGTTCTTACTTTCATGCATATCTGCTGGATTCAACAACTCGTCCTGGGGATTTTTGTTCCATGAAAAGTTCGTACATAAGGGAAAATATTAAGCAATTATAAACATGAAACCAAAAATTTCCCTTAGACTCCTATTTTTGAGCCCAAAGTGATTGCAGAAATTGGTGCTCCCTCCATAGAGACGTTCAAAAAATTAAAGTTTGCAAAGAAGCGTCATTTACCTTTAAACCACGGTACGCAATCTTAGTGTGTCTACTTCTTCTTTCTTCTTCCTCGTCTTCTTCTTCTCTTCATTACGGTCGGCAAAGTTTTATGGAGCGTATAAAGTGTATACTTAAGGAGGCACTGAGCAGTACGAAACTCGAATGACACAGGAGTTTCGCTAGTGAGTTGAGTACTTGACTGGAAGGGAAAGAAGAGGAGTTGCGAAGACAAAACTTTTTGCGAAAATAAACATACATTTATAGGATTTTTTAGTTTCCTTGTATTAAATATGGAAGAAAGGGAGTGTAAAACTTTTAATTTCCACTATTCCTTTCCCTTTTTTTGCGATGAAAGTTTCGCAAACAAATTTCGTCGAATAAAAATGCAGAATTAAAAAACTATTTTAATCAGCTTAATAACGGTTGTCCACAAGTATTTATGAATATCATTAAAAGGAATATCAGCGTAGCGGGAAGACTCTTTTGATAAAATGTTTGGTGTGACTACATATTGGCTGCAGGTGGTCTGAAAAGAGGTTTAA